ATTAAACCACTTCATACCAGTCATCTCATATTATTTCTATATGTATTTAAACAAGAATTTGTGTATTTATACAGACATTTATTTATTTATTTGCATATTTATTCATTTATTTGTGTATTTATTGTTTTTGTAGGTTTCGTCCTCCATAAGAGGGCGTCTGGATCATAGACACAATAATGTCTATGGTGATTACCAGCAGCATGAAGAGAGACTATCATTACATCATTATAATGCGACAAACTGAGCAGGGACAGATGTAATGCAATCAAGAATATATGGAGAATTGTTTAAGTGTTTAAAAAAGACAAGATTAATGGAAAGAGTTTGAAGCTTTGAATTTTGTATTTATTTATGTAAAAAATGTTGGTTTATTTTATTATTATTATTTTTTAAATCTATAATAGTTGAATCATTCATAGTTGAACCGTGTACGTTTCACACTCCAGACCAGTAGGTGGCGGACATGCACCTTTAACGTTGGTTTGCCAATCCGCCAAAAAAACTCGAGAGAAGAAGAAGAAGGGACAGTTATTAACGTGCATGCTGATGACTGCAGGCTGTTTGGTTCGCGAGCACGACAATTAATAAATCTCTGTTTACATCCTAACGTTGTCTAAGTAGTGTATATTTGGAACAGCTGGTCACAGTAAAGAGCGACGCACACGTCAGCACATTTGAAGATGTCTGTAACGGAGATGTTTAGCTATATCCAAGGATTTTTGAGTGCCGATCAAGATATTCGAGAGGTAAACAACAGCACTGACACCTAAACTGGCTTTTGGAAACGCACAATAACTTTCCTGAAAAAAAAGGTTATGTAGCAACGTGAAGTCCATTTGAAATGTTATGCACTTGTCGCAGAACCTCTGCATAGAATGTTGCTTTATCAGTAGCATTCTCCGTAATGCTTTCACAGGACATTTGTGAGTTATGAACTAGACATGATAAAGTACAACAGATGTTGAAGTCTAGACAGAATGTTCTGCTGATCTCTTTTTGAATTTTGCTGTTTTCAATCCATTTGTGCTCATCTTTCTGTGCTCTTCTTGTAGGATATAAGAAAAGTTGTCCAAGTTCTGGAGCAGACAGCGAGAGAGATCCTCACTGTTCTTCAAAGTGTTCATCAACCAAGTGGTTTCAAAGACAGTATGTTAAAATACTTGATCCAAGTCTTTTGGTCTACATGATGTCTTTTAGAATACGTTTTCATTCCCTCCTCCAGTTCCCAGCAAGTGTCTAAAGGCCAGAGAGCTGTTCTGCACTGTAAGAAACCACACTGGAGAGCTGAAAACTAAGTTCCCAGTTGAACAGTACTATCGGTCAGTGTAAATGCCTCTTACACTATTTTTTTTCCCTTAGTGATTGAATGATCATGCTTCTAGCCTTGATAATTATATTAAAGCCTGATACATCCTCACCTTTCCATAGGTATCATGAACACTGGAGATTTGTTCTTCAACGACTTGCCTTCCTTGCAGCTTTTGTGGTATACCTGGAAAGCGAGTCCTTGGTTACACGCGAGGAAGTGGCAAAAATACTTGCCAGTATGTAATGTTCATGTTTATTTATAGGCCTATATCTTAATACTTGGGTGAGACTGTAGTAGATTAATTCTATTTTACACGTACGCAGTTGAAGTCGACAGAGAAATAGGGTTTCATTTGGATGTGGAAGACTATCTAGCAGGAGTTCTTATTATGGCCAGCGAGCTGGTAAGTGTTTTCTCAAATGTATTCAAACTACCAATCTAACCCTCTTTAGTTGTAATAATTTACGTGCTACTGTATTTAAATATTTGCGTTGACATGAACATTAAAGGGGTCATGACATGGATTGTTTTATTTGAATATGTTCCTTGAAGTTCACTTATAATAAATAAATAATATGCAGAACATTTTTTATTTTCAACCCTCATTCTGACCATCTTTCTGAAATTATCAATTTTTAAGGGTCCTTTAAGGCTTCTCAGTAAACAACAGCCACTGTTTGATTGACTGATTTCATTACATAGGAAATAGGGCTGTGCAAAAAATCGAATGTGTTTGCCATGCGCATCTCATCATATCCGTTTATAGTCAGTATTGGTATATTGCAACACCCCTAATTCAAACACTTTCCATTACATAATGTTGATTGTAGTATATGTGCTGTTGAAGCAAGCACTGCATAATGTTAATTTTGTGCAGCAAAACTAATTGCTTGTGAACATCTTATATTGGCAACTTATTCAACAATTCAGCTTATTTGTGTTCAGATTTTCAAGTCATGCATCCCACTAATAATGTTAGGGTATTCATTTTTGATATTTTTGGGCATTATTGTGGATTTTGTTTTGTCTTTTTGATGTGAAATAAACTTTGGATAGAGTGGAAAGAATGTGAATCAAATTAAAAGCACAATGTACCTGTTGCATCTTTTTCCGTTTAGTCCAGGCTGGCAGTGAACAGCGTGACCGCAGGGGACTATGGATGTCCGCTTAGGATCTCAAACTTCATCAATGAACTTGACTCTGGCTTTCGGTTGCTCAACTTAAAAAACGACCCTCTTCGCAAGCGCTACGATGGCCTCAAGTACGATGTGAAGAAGATTGAGGAGGTGGTATACGATCTTTCCATCCGAGGCCTTGCCAAGGAGCAGGAGCAGGAGGAGGCTGGAGGAGATAAGTAGAGGCGGTGTGGAAACACAAGAGGCCGCGGGGCACTACCCTGGCTGGGATTCTCCATGACTGGAAGAGTGGTTAAACCTGTCAGCGAGCAGGTGCTTGGAGGAAGAGGGGAGGGAATGGAGGTTTTGAAGCCCCAGCAGCCTTGGGCAGTGTTTTTTAAACCACCTGCCCACCATGACAGAGATAAGTTCAGGTTTTAGAGGGGAGATCTTCTCTTTCTCACTTTTGCTGAGAGATTCTTATGTACAGATGCATTTGTTTGCCTGTTTTTTTTTTTTTTGATTGGATGCTTTTTTACTATTATTGATGTTTTTGTCTTGGCTATCTCTCTTGTGAATCATTGTACAGTCAAACAAGAAGGAAGAAATTTTTTTGGGGTGTTTTCATAAAACATATTTAAGAATACTGTTAAAAACAAAAGTTCTGTGCCTGTTTTGTGGCTTGTCCAGTCAAGACATCAAAACGTTTTCTTGATGTTGAACTACGTACAGTAAATATTACATTTGACATAACCTATGCTTATTGATTCATTAAATTGGGTTTTGTACCCAAACACCTTTCTTGAATGTAACTATGATTAAATCATGTTAATAGTATCTTGCTAAGGTATACATAAAGATAAAATTGATAAATCTTTGCCAAAATGTTTAGTTTCATACTGCAAATACATATTGAATCTGTAAATCATCTAGTGGTTTCTTAAACCACTGGTTTGCTGTTGGTACGTATTTACACTTTCATGTATTTCTTCTTTAAAAGGACCGTTCATCCAAAAATAAAAGTTCCGTTATCGTTTACTCACCCTCATGTCGCTCCAAACCTGTTTGACTTACTTTCTTCTGGGGAACACAATATTTTTTTGTCCATACAATCAAAGTCAAAAGGGTCGTTTTGGACCCCATTGACTTTTATTATATGGACATAAACAGTTGAAACATTCTTCGAGTTCTCTTCATTTGTGATGCACAGAAGAAAGTTACACCGGCTTGGAATGACACGAGGATGAGTAAAAGATGATAGAATGTTAATTTTTGGATAAATACATGAGATCAAAGTCATTTCTTGCTTTGCATATTTGAACTCTGGTTTATCACTTCTGCTTTTCGGTTCACGTTTCTTTCCTTCTGTTCTGAATCTTACGTTGTTGCATGCTGAACTCCACCTGCAGATGGTGTCCTATCGGGAAGAGCTTTGGAAAAAATAACACTAAAACCTTCCAAACAAACGTTTTCAAAGGACAAACTGACAGTGCATTTGTTTTCCTTTGTAAAGTTTTATGGCAACTTTACGGTCCTCCCTATTTTGTTTGTGAATTCTCAGTGCATTGCCCTTCTTGTTGTGGCTTCTTTGTGGGTGAATGTTTTAACTGCTCTTTCAGTGTTTTTGGGGGCTTTTACTTAAAATGGTTTAAAAGAAATTCTCTGCAATAATGCTTTGTGTTCTTTATTTCTCCCTGAAGACAGATTTCTCAGAGAGATTTCTTAAACTTTTTTTTTTTTTTTGAGTATTTGCATTTGAAATGCCTGTGTTCATGTGGTGGTTCAACTTGCGACTTTCGCTTTTCACTGGGAAAGCATTTGCTTGTTCAGTAATGTTATGTAATAAAGATTAAGCATTGGGAATAATGTTCTCAGAAAATATGTCAGTTGAGCGAGATGGATACTTGTCATTTTTAATTGCAATTCACAATATTTTTACACAACAAAAAAAAATATTAAATTAGGATTATTAAGAATGGAAAAAAATATTTAACAGCTTGATTGGTCTCAGTTAAAAGTACAATTTTTCAGTCCTGGCAGGTTCAACTAATCTTTTTGTTGTGTAATGTGGAAGCTACGGTATGATATTTCTAACAGTATCAATGCCATTGGTAAAAAAACAGTAAATATTCATGTTGAAACCTAAATGCCTAAATCCATTTCTGTCCATTCTGTGACAATTTCTATCCATCAGTATTGACTTTAAACATAGAGAGACCAGAAAGACTGTGATTGATTGCTATTGCTGATGTCAACTGTGGTTCATTTTCTCTTAAAGTTAAAGCAATCTTTAAAACAAAGTACAGTAAAGCTTTGTAAACTGCAGAACAATGTCCTTGCTCCAGTTTAGGACCTTCATATTAAAGTGCATCAAACAAAAACAGTTAACATTTAACAAGTTATCATAAAGCACAGTCTGTATATCAGTGGGGAAATCAGAATATAATAGCAGCTACAGAAAAATTATAGATCTTTTTCTCAATTTGACATAAGGCCTGATTTGTGGGTAATTGGTTTATTTTATTATTATTATTTTTTAAATCTATAATAGTTGAATCATTCATAGTTGAACCGTGTACGTTTCACACTCCAGACCAGTAGGTGGCGGACATGCACCTTTAACGTTGGTTTGCCAATCCGCCAAAAAAACTCGAGAGAAGAAGAAGAAGGGACAGTTATTAACGTGCATGCTGATGACTGCAGGCTGTTTGGTTCGCGAGCACGACAATTAATAAATCTCTGTTTACATCCTAACGTTGTCTAAGTAGTGTATATTTGGAACAGCTGGTCACAGTAAAGAGCGACGCACACGTCAGCACATTTGAAGATGTCTGTAACGGAGATGTTTAGCTATATCCAAGGATTTTTGAGTGCCGATCAAGATATTCGAGAGGTAAACAACAGCACTGACACCTAAACTGGCTTTTGGAAACGCACAATAACTTTCCTGAAAAAAAAGGTTATGTAGCAACGTGAAGTCCATTTGAAATGTTATGCACTTGTCGCAGAACCTCTGCATAGAATGTTGCTTTATCAGTAGCATTCTCCGTAATGCTTTCACAGGACATTTGTGAGTTATGAACTAGACATGATAAAGTACAACAGATGTTGAAGTCTAGACAGAATGTTCTGCTGATCTCTTTTTGAATTTTGCTGTTTTCAATCCATTTGTGCTCATCTTTCTGTGCTCTTCTTGTAGGATATAAGAAAAGTTGTCCAAGTTCTGGAGCAGACAGCGAGAGAGATCCTCACTGTTCTTCAAAGTGTTCATCAACCAAGTGGTTTCAAAGACAGTATGTTAAAATACTTGATCCAAGTCTTTTGGTCTACATGATGTCTTTTAGAATACGTTTTCATTCCCTCCTCCAGTTCCCAGCAAGTGTCTAAAGGCCAGAGAGCTGTTCTGCACTGTAAGAAACCACACTGGAGAGCTGAAAACTAAGTTCCCAGTTGAACAGTACTATCGGTCAGTGTAAATGCCTCTTACACTATTTTTTTTCCCTTAGTGATTGAATGATCATGCTTCTAGCCTTGATAATTATATTAAAGCCTGATACATCCTCACCTTTCCATAGGTATCATGAACACTGGAGATTTGTTCTTCAACGACTTGCCTTCCTTGCAGCTTTTGTGGTATACCTGGAAAGCGAGTCCTTGGTTACACGCGAGGAAGTGGCAAAAATACTTGCCAGTATGTAATGTTCATGTTTATTTATAGGCCTATATCTTAATACTTGGGTGAGACTGTAGTAGATTAATTCTATTTTACACGTACGCAGTTGAAGTCGACAGAGAAATAGGGTTTCATTTGGATGTGGAAGACTATCTAGCAGGAGTTCTTATTATGGCCAGCGAGCTGGTAAGTGTTTTCTCAAATGTATTCAAACTACCAATCTAACCCTCTTTAGTTGTAATAATTTACGTGCTACTGTATTTAAATATTTGCGTTGACATGAACATTAAAGGGGTCATGACATGGATTGTTTTATTTGAATATGTTCCTTGAAGTTCACTTATAATAAATAAATAATATGCAGAACATTTTTTATTTTCAACCCTCATTCTGACCATCTTTCTGAAATTATCAATTTTTAAGGGTCCTTTAAGGCTTCTCAGTAAACAACAGCCACTGTTTGATTGACTGATTTCATTACATAGGAAATAGGGCTGTGCAAAAAATCGAATGTGTTTGCCATGCGCATCTCATCATATCCGTTTATAGTCAGTATTGGTATATTGCAACACCCCTAATTCAAACACTTTCCATTACATAATGTTGATTGTAGTATATGTGCTGTTGAAGCAAGCACTGCATAATGTTAATTTTGTGCAGCAAAACTAATTGCTTGTGAACATCTTATATTGGCAACTTATTCAACAATTCAGCTTATTTGTGTTCAGATTTTCAAGTCATGCATCCCACTAATAATGTTAGGGTATTCATTTTTGATATTTTTGGGCATTATTGTGGATTTTGTTTTGTCTTTTTGATGTGAAATAAACTTTGGATAGAGTGGAAAGAATGTGAATCAAATTAAAAGCACAATGTACCTGTTGCATCTTTTTCCGTTTAGTCCAGGCTGGCAGTGAACAGCGTGACCGCAGGGGACTATGGATGTCCGCTTAGGATCTCAAACTTCATCAATGAACTTGACTCTGGCTTTCGGTTGCTCAACTTAAAAAACGACCCTCTTCGCAAGCGCTACGATGGCCTCAAGTACGATGTGAAGAAGATTGAGGAGGTGGTATACGATCTTTCCATCCGAGGCCTTGCCAAGGAGCAGGAGCAGGAGGAGGCTGGAGGAGATAAGTAGAGGCGGTGTGGAAACACAAGAGGCCGCGGGGCACTACCCTGGCTGGGATTCTCCATGACTGGAAGAGTGGTTAAACCTGTCAGCGAGCAGGTGCTTGGAGGAAGAGGGGAGGGAATGGAGGTTTTGAAGCCCCAGCAGCCTTGGGCAGTGTTTTTTAAACCACCTGCCCACCATGACAGAGATAAGTTCAGGTTTTAGAGGGGAGATCTTCTCTTTCTCACTTTTGCTGAGAGATTCTTATGTACAGATGCATTTGTTTGCCTGTTTTTTTTTTTTTTGATTGGATGCTTTTTTACTATTATTGATGTTTTTGTCTTGGCTATCTCTCTTGTGAATCATTGTACAGTCAAACAAGAAGGAAGAAATTTTTTTGGGGTGTTTTCATAAAACATATTTAAGCGGGGCACTACCCTGGCTGGGATTCTCCATGACTGGAAGAGTGGTTAAACCTGTCAGCGAGCAGGTGCTTGGAGGAAGAGGGGAGGGAATGGAGGTTTTGAAGCCCCAGCAGCCTTGGGCAGTGTTTTTTAAACCACCTGCCCACCATGACAGAGATAAGTTCAGGTTTTAGAGGGGAGATCTTCTCTTTCTCACTTTTGCTGAGAGATTCTTATGTACAGATGCATTTGTTTGCCTGTTTTTTTTTTTTTTGATTGGATGCTTTTTTACTATTATTGATGTTTTTGTCTTGGCTATCTCTCTTGTGAATCATTGTACAGTCAAACAAGAAGGAAGAAATTTTTTTGGGGTGTTTTCATAAAACATATTTAAGAATACTGTTAAAAACAAAAGTTCTGTGCCTGTTTTGTGGCTTGTCCAGTCAAGACATCAAAACGTTTTCTTGATGTTGAACTACGTACAGTAAATATTACATTTGACATAACCTATGCTTATTGATTCATTAAATTGGGTTTTGTACCCAAACACCTTTCTTGAATGTAACTATGATTAAATCATGTTAATAGTATCTTGCTAAGGTATACATAAAGATAAAATTGATAAATCTTTGCCAAAATGTTTAGTTTCATACTGCAAATACATATTGAATCTGTAAATCATCTAGTGGTTTCTTAAACCACTGGTTTGCTGTTGGTACGTATTTACACTTTCATGTATTTCTTCTTTAAAAGGACCGTTCATCCAAAAATAAAAGTTCCGTTATCGTTTACTCACCCTCATGTCGCTCCAAACCTGTTTGACTTACTTTCTTCTGGGGAACACAATATTTTTTTGTCCATACAATCAAAGTCAAAAGGGTCGTTTTGGACCCCATTGACTTTTATTATATGGACATAAACAGTTGAAACATTCTTCGAGTTCTCTTCATTTGTGATGCACAGAAGAAAGTTACACCGGCTTGGAATGACACGAGGATGAGTAAAAGATGATAGAATGTTAATTTTTGGATAAATACATGAGATCAAAGTCATTTCTTGCTTTGCATATTTGAACTCTGGTTTATCACTTCTGCTTTTCGGTTCACGTTTCTTTCCTTCTGTTCTGAATCTTACGTTGTTGCATGCTGAACTCCACCTGCAGATAGTGTCCTATCGGGAAGAGCTTTGGAAAAAATAACACTAAAACCTTCCAAACAAACGTTTTCAAAGGACAAACTGACAGTGCATTTGTTTTCCTTTGTAAAGTTTTATGGCAACTTTACGGTCCTCCCTATTTTGTTTGTGAATTCTCAGTGCATTGCCCTTCTTGTTGTGGCTTCTTTGTGGGTGAATGTTTTAACTGCTCTTTCAGTGTTTTTGGGGGCTTTTACTTAAAATGGTTTAAAAGAAATTCTCTGCAATAATGCTTTGTGTTCTTTATTTCTCCCTGAAGACAGATTTCTCAGAGAGATTTCTTAAACTTTTTTTTTTTTTTTGAGTATTTGCATTTGAAATGCCTGTGTTCATGTGGTGGTTCAACTTGCGACTTTCGCTTTTCACTGGGAAAGCATTTGCTTGTTCAGTAATGTTATGTAATAAAGATTAAGCATTGGGAATAATGTTCTCAGAAAATATGGAGTCAGTTGAGCGAGATGGATACTTGTCATTTTTAATTGCAATTCACAATATTTTTACACAACAAAAAAAAATATTAAATTAGGATTATTAAGAATGGAAAAAAATATTTAACAGCTTGATTGGTCTCAGTTAAAAGTACAATTTTTCAGTCCTGGCAGGTTCAACTAATCTTTTTGTTGTGTAATGTGGAAGCTACGGTATGATATTTCTAACAGTATCAATGCCATTGGTAAAAAAACAGTAAATATTCATGTTGAAACCTAAATGCCTAAATCCATTTCTGTCCATTCTGTGACAATTTCTATCCATCAGTATTGACTTTAAACATAGAGAGACCAGAAAGACTGTGATTGATTGCTATTGCTGATGTCAACTGTGGTTCATTTTCTCTTAAAGTTAAAGCAATCTTTAAAACAAAGTACAGTAAAGCTTTGTAAACTGCAGAACAATGTCCTTGCTCCAGTTTAGGACCTTCATATTAAAGTGCATCAAACAAAAACAGTTAACATTTAACAAGTTATCATAAAGCACAGTCTGTATATCAGTGGGGAAATCAGAATATAATAGCAGCTACAGAAAAATTATAGATCTTTTTCTCAATTTGACATAAGGCCTGATTTGTGGGTAAAAGTAGAGGAAAAACTTGAACAAAATAGTACTAAGGTATCATTCAGTATCAAATAAACAAAGGCACATATTTTCTCCCCCTCAGAGATCACAAAGGAAAGCAAAATTGGGGGGTTGGGGGTGGGGCATCTAATTTACATTTTCTAATTGAAGATCTGGTTCATGGCCACAGATGTTTTCAGCACAGCCATTAATGTGGCAATGACAATACTTGATGCTTAGACTGATGCTACACCCTCATTAGATTGTGCAGAAAACATATACCAAAAAATGTTTGTTACATCACTGATCACAAGAATATGGGTACCTGTGAATAAAAACAGCTTGACTGCTACATAATACAATGAAGATTATTGCTGTTTTGAAAACCAGTACAGTAATACAAAAATGAGAACTGCTCCCGAATGGCAGTGGGAATAGATGCTAACGGAAGAGAGAGAGAGAGGAAGAGGGAATTACAATGCTCCGAAAACAAAACAGCTTTACCTCAGTCTTCACATAAAACACAGGTTTCCACTCTGTTGTGCATACTAAAAAGTCCATATAAAGTCCATCCAATCACAAACATGTTCCCTCATGCTTATCACAAAAACCATTTCACAACTGAACATTTCTCAGTGGCAAACTGGTTGTACAATCAGTGTTTTACAAGTGCAGCAGTGAGGTGCCAAATAAGGCCCTCATTTTGGTATGCCAAAGAGCATTTACTTTTTGCTTGACAGTGGATTTTTTCTCTTCCCAAACGTCATTAACTTGCTTTCCACTCATACAAAGTGCCCTCTTGCAGTCTATATTAATATTCAGTCAAATCACAGTAAAACCTACCAATTTAAAAGTCCATTGGTGGATGGTTCTCCCACACAAATACTGTTTGCTCAACAAAATATTGATTTTTTAAATTACTATTATTTACATCAGAGTTATGCTGGGAAGGGATGAGGGATGTGTCGCTAAGGACTCAGTCTCAGGACCGGCTCTGGGTTGTGTTAATCATGATATTAGGGAGAGCATTGCGTCTCTTTCTCCAGGATCCCAAATCACAAGCGTATCTCTTGATCTGGCGAAACCACTGCTGAGTGCGAGGTTTGTCGGAGGCACGGAAAACGAAGGCCTCACGTCGAATGTCCAGCACCTCAAAGGTGTCTTCACAGTCGGGGTCGGCGGACACCACGCAGTTTGCCAAATGGATTGGCTCCCGTAACACAGTGAACTTCCCGCTGCTCTTGTCCTTGATGAGCACCAGTACACCGTCCTGCACCATCTCCGAGGTCTCCAGACTCCCTTCAGTCACCGTTTCTGTGTTGCGCAGAGTGTGTACCATAAGTAAACTCTGAACGTTCTGGAATTTGAGGGATTTGCTTCCCTTCTTATGCCACTGGCCATCGGCGGGCTGTGCCAACTGGAGCGGCCCCTCCATGATAAACCGTGTGCTCTCTCGCGTCCAGCCCACCGTCTTCATCGACAGCTCTCTCATCTCAATGTTGATGACTTCTCGGTTCTTGCGGCTGTCACGCCGGAAAGAGCGCAAGGACCATGTGGCGGTCCCTTCCTGTTTGGTCTTCATGTTGATGTGCTCTAGATGGGACTCCACGCGGCTCTTGGCTTCTTTTAAGCGGGAGCAGTCCGGGTGACACTCGTTGGTGGCCTTGCTGATGCGACTTAGCAGTAATGGGTACTTGGTCACACGCTGCAGGGGGGCCATGAGGAAGGAGCGCAGGTTCATGCGCCTGAGTGCCGTGTTGTCATTCTGGGACACGTCGAGGAATATCCTGAGGGATGTAAAAGAGCAAACTTTCATATACTTTCAACTTGTGAATCATATATTGTATACATAAGATTGGTAATATTTGCTAAGGATCCAAAATTGGGGACTGTATCACTTCTTTTTCAGCTCTTCTCACAACAAAGCTCTGTAAATTCACGAATGAAGCCTCTTTAGGAGATTTCAGAACAGTTTGCTACAAATCTGATTGCCAAAAAAAAAAAATGGCTAGATGGCCCAGGGGCCAGTATGCAAGAGTTCTGAGCTACGCACTGTAAACTTAAACATTCTGTGATGCATTGAACTTTGTGGGTATACATTTTTGGTGCTGATTTAAATATGTCATCAATTTATCTAGCTAGATAGCATGGTGTATGTAGGATGTAGGTAAAATGAACAATCACATAATGCCTTTGTTTTCTAGCAAAAGTGATTTTTTGAAATTATGGTTGTATAATTTCCTATTACTATTGCAAAATAATAACCTAATAAAAAACTTGCCAAAGAAAAAAACACTTAACCACTTTACCAATTACTAATGAAAAATAGAAATAAAAAAAAGTTATTTCTTACATGTATAAAAATAAATTTTTAAAATAAATAAATACACACACACACAATATATTAATAATTTTCTTCATGGTGGGGCCAGTGAAAATATTAATAGTGCATGTACAAATCTGAACTACTGGCCCAATGACGGAAAAAAAATCTTACTGTTGAGCTCTGGTTAGGATTATATTTGAACAGACCTACTAACTTGAGTTTGTGCATGCACACTTACACTGCTGATGCTTAACTACCTTTATTTGTAACTGAATGACAGTGGCAAAGCAGTTAAAGTATATATTATGTGTACCTAAGAAGCTCTTTTTCTTTCTCCAGTGTGTTGAGCATGTTCACAGATGTGGACTGCTGCAGGCAGTAGGTCTGAAACGCTGGAAGCATGTTGACAAACTCCAAGAAGATTTCTCCAATGCACACAGTC